TTTTTTTTGAGAGAGAGAGAGAGAGAGAGAGAGAGGCTCCATCTATTGCTGGGGAGCATCACCTGCTGGAAAACGGGTCCAGCGTCCCATACACAAAACGAATCAGGACGATGGGTTATAACTTAAAAAGTGTTGCCAACTTGCCACAAATTCACCACCAGCTTATTCTGGAGGCATTGCAAGGCAAATGAGCGATATAGCGAAATGACAAAATTCCAGATTGCATAATCACAACCAAAACCAGATAGTCAATAGCGAAATGGGACATTTGGATTCTGTGCTTTGGTTCTCTGTTGGTCCAGAAAGCAGTAATGCACTGATATCTTCCACCAACAGAGAACCAAAGCACAGAATCCAAATGTCCCATGTGAGAGCATACTCTCGCCACCACCAACCAACATATGTATCCAGAGCCCTCCCTCCTTACTTGGCGCTCAGCACCCAGACTGCGATCACACCGCTATCCTACTAGCCTACAAATTGACAATGCAAGCAGTCGATGTCAGCAGCAGCATTTGAAGTACATGCAGATGTCGACCGTGTAGACGCCCGCCAAGACCAGTACGTGCCCTCACTTCATCTCCCCGCTCGCCCTCTCACCCTTGCCTTCCTCACCCGCGTCTCCTCACTACCTGAAGAGTCTGTGACGACCACCACCATACACCGCTGACCTTCTCCAAGCCCAAGCCCAAGCCTGGCTATGTGGGCTGGGCTATGGCGCTGCCTACTTGCAGCGCCCTGCTTCCACGACCGCGCGCGTCCTTGCACCTCACACACGCGCTAGCAGCGCTGCCGCACGCACGTCCAACTGCCTGAATGCTTCAATGGCAGGCAGGCACTTTCCTATCTGGGAAGTGCTTGCCTGTGCAGGCTTCCTGGGCCTGCCAACCGTGTGTCCAGCAGCTTCACGTTGGCCCAAAGTGTCTTCGCCCAGGCCCATTCAGACACTGGCCTGTGACTGATTTGGTCAGGTGTGCCCAACCACCCACCCATGCGCACATGTGCGGTGTTCCCTGCCTTCCCTGCGGGCCTGGAAGAGCCTAGAGAAGCCTCACCCACAAATATTTCTGATTCTCATCAGCGGGGAGCATGTAACCGGCTGGCACGTGGTAATCGGCTCGCGCCCAATAAGACTTGAAAATTAAGACTTGAAAATTAGGACTTGAAAATTAAGAAAATTAAGACTTGAAAGTTGATGAATTCAGGCCTCATTGAGATTGCGGGGGTGGGCTCATGCTTGCTGTAAGGGGTAAGGGCCCTTTCATGGGCATGCCGAGGGCCCAAAAAAGGTGAAAAAACTTGAGGAAAGGGAGTGAAGCAAATGCACATGAATGATTGAACTTGATAAAAGTTGGTTAAATCATTAAATGCATAACCAAGTTTTGTCTGCCAGACATAACTGATGCAGCAGATTGATTGTGTGGGAAGTGTGTAACAACAGTTCCCCTCTCAAATTACATGCCCATTGCCCACTCCAACAGGTCGATTCCTGAGTCTTGCACCTTCTGGATCGCCCCGAGCCGGATCGTGTCTGCTCTTATCAGCACCACTAACACTGGTGGGGGCGTGTTTGCTAGCAAAAAAAAAAAAAAAAAAAAAAAAAAAAAAAAAAAAAACCTGGCGTCTGCGATTCCTTGTTTAATTTGCTGGTGGTAGCTCCCGGTCTGCTTCAATTTCGTACATATGTGCAGAGCCAGTCTCCTTGAGGGGGGCCCGTCCGCGGTTGCACGAGAGAAATGCTATGCTCAGTTCTACTTCGTGTTGCCACGTGGCCCATTACAAGGTAACCGTAGGGGAACCTGCGGCCGGATATCAAATGGCATTTAGCCTCACCCGGTCACTTAGGCAGGGATGTCCCCTTGCCCCGCTCCTCTTCGTTATTCATATGGAGGTACTGGTGAACAGCATTCGTTGTCACAGTCTTATCAAAGGCCTAAGAGTAGGACCGTCCCATTGCAAAAAAGTCAAAACTTTGGCAAACGACCTCTTTGAAATTTTCGACAACTCTATTGACTCTCCGGGAGCACTGACGTCTGAACTTGACTCATACTCAGACTTCAGTGTGAGCCCTCAGTAAAAAGCATATAAAAAAAAAAAAGCATATCACTATTATCAAGTCTGTTTGACCTTCTTCCACCAGACTGAGGATTGTCAATTGTGTGGGGGAGATGGGGTATGAACTTTGAAGCGAGTATCCCAAGAGTCGCGAAGACGCGAGTATCCCAAGAGTCGCGAAGAAGCGAGTATCCAAAGAGTCGCGAAGACCAGTCTGAACATGTTTTGGGAATTCAGATAAGCTTGCTGGCCTGTGACGGCGATCAAGATGACCTCCTGTTACAAAAGGGTCGATGCACCGGCCGGATGGTGACCTGGGGAAAGGCACCCCACTAGTGGTAGTGATGAATGCGGGCCACTCCTCGCTCTCGTATGGTTTGTGGGTGCTGGCTGTTAGAGCCCTAGGAAGACAACTATATTCGTATATTCCCTTTCCAAGATACGTGCGGGCAAGTTCATACGGAAGCCCTACGCAATGGACGAAGAATCATTTATCACTAAGGTAGCAGCGTGAGAAATGTTGTGTACAGTGTACACCCAGAACCCAGGGTGGGCCCGTTTAAAAAAAAAAAAAAAAACAGGGTGGTCCTGCCCATATTGGACCCTAGGAAACAGAAGAATGCTAGGCATGCTGGTCAAATGGCTAATAAGAGCTACCTTCTTCCCCCGACTACAACGTCCGGTCATTATAGCTGTATTTGACACATCTTTCTGTCTAGCCTGAGATACAGCTATAATGACCGTACGTTGTATTCGGGGGAAGAGGTAGCACCGCGGCGTGGCCCTCATTCGGTAACCATGACTCTTTTTTTTTTTTTTTTTTTTTTTTTTTTAAATGAGACGATGCTCCAACGTCCTTTCCCAAGAATGGAATCTTTCCAGACCACAGGATGTCGGGACGCGTTTAATGCTGTTCTCCTACCAACAGAGACAGATAAATTCTCCGTTCTGGAAAGCTATTATCCTGCTAGCATGAAAAAAAAATTCATCCAGCGTGGATTGAGCCTACAACGAAGGCGGAAATCGTGGCTCAGCCGCTGTTTGAAAATCCGTTGGTACTATCGCAAACGGTGAATGGATTAAGGCTGATAGCTCAAAGTTTTGGCCGTACTTGGATTGACAGGGGGGCGCTCAGAATGAGGGATATTCGGGACCCCATCCTAGGAAGCTGGGTTTCAGATGCAGATCTACGCAACAACCTCGGACAAGCAAGGGCAGGTGGGATCTAAAAAGGCTTTATTGATACCAATGGGCCTATCTCAGTTGGTACACCCGTGAACTGTTGAAATACAGACCTGTGTTCGAATCCAGATACAATCAGATCACCAGAATAAAATCATTCTGAATTACTTGGAGCCGCCGCCCTTTTCTAAAAAGAAAAAGGCTTTATTGATAGAAGCCATTCCTCAGCACTGGAAGGAACATTTGCCGCTGCAGTAGACCCTCCCTCCCCGTACACGGTTCGTCGGCTCCCATGCAGATCATTTCCAATTTTTGGAAATTAACAGAATATATGCCGGATGGGAGGCGAATATTCCCACGATGGCAAATCTCTCCCAACTTAACACTGACTCAGCTGAATGATGATGAACGCCCGTCAGTAGCTTCTGTCTTTTTCTGAGGTTCGCGTGTCGGAGTCTGTCTCTCATCACAGGGAGCGAAATCTTGTGCAGTCCTGTGTAATGGAACCACGATCGAGCAGATGAAAAAAATTGGACCCCTGTATGCGGGAATGGAGGGCACTTGGAAAATCTAGAGAAAAAAAAAACGTCCAGTTGTTATATTATACACAGAAGATTGGCTACATGGAGGGCAATCATTGTTTCAATATATCCTCTGGCTGTGGCCCGCGCCAGAGGGCAGTCGCTCCTTTTTTTTTCCTTTCTTTTTTTTTCTTTCTTTTTTTTTTCTTTCTTTTTTTTTCTTTTTTTTCTTTCTTTTTTTTTCTTTTTTTTCTTTTTTTTTCTTTTTTTTTTTTTTTTTTTTCCTCTCCTAGATGGGTTTTTTTTTTTACAACAATGAGTGATGAGTAGCACCCCTTTTTTTTTTTTTTTTTTTTTTTTCAATGGGGCCCAGTGCCCAAGGCTCATATTTAGAACTTTGAATACATGACAGACACATTCCTCTGATCTGACTAGAATCGAAAAAGCGCTTCTGGTTTGTTGGACGCAGTTGCAATTGATCCCTTGTCAATGTGAGGCAGCAATACTGTGGTTGCTTTTTTTTTTTTTTTTTTTTTTTTTTTTTTTTGGGGGGGGGGGGGTGGGGTTTTTTTTTTTTTTTTTTTTTTTTTTTTTTTTTTTTTTTTTTTTTTTTTTTTTTTTTTTTTTTTTTTTTTTTCTACGGATTCTATGCCATCAGCAGTGTGGTTCGCAGAAAGACAAATGGAAATTGACTTAAAATGTTTGAGATGTGAGTGGGCCTTTGAATCAACAGTCCGTCTTCGGTGGGACTGCCCAGCGTCGGCCAGGATTTGGAAGTGGTGGTACAAGAAATGGGAAGAACTACCTGGGCAGACTTTTGTCCCATTTC